CCACACTACAGACTCAGTGTGGGCTGACTCCAACCACTGTGACTTAGGAGTAAAGTGGGAACTAGAACAAAAAACCTTTCCCTGGAACCACAAAAGAAAATACAGACAATTGCTCTCTCTTCCTCAAGGGCGGCAACATGGATCAAGCAACGGGGGGGGGGGGCATCCTTGACTTGGTCTTGACCAATAGGGAGGAGCTGATAGATGAAGTACAGGTGAGGGGAGCTCTGGATGTGAGTGATCACTCCATCCTTTGCTTTGAGATCAGGGGACTGCGGACGGGCAGCAGGTTGAGCACTAGAAGCTGGGACTTCAAGAGGGCCAACTTTGGCCAACTGAAGGCCAGACTGGGGAAAGTCTCCTGGGATAGGTTACTGGAAGGTAAGCGAGTTGAGGAGGGGTGCATGGCACTCAAAAGGGAGGTTTTGGAGGCGCAGGCCTTGACGATACCTCTAGTCAGTAAGGTGGGGAGGCAGAGGAGAGTGCCGCCATGGATGCGAAAGGAGGTGGTTAAAGGGATTAGACGAAAGAGGAACCTCCGTAGGAAATGGGTACTGGGGGAAATAGACAAAAGGAGGAGGTCCTTTGCAGAAGGATTTTTCACAAGGCTAAGGCTGATTATGAGCTGAGACTTACCAAGAATATCAAGAGCAATAAAAAGGGCTTCTTTCAGCATGTAAATAGGAAGAGGAAGGGGAGACAAGTGGTGGGATCACTAAATAAGGAGGAAGGAGATCCAGTGACTGATATGAGGGAACAGGCACAGATGCTAAATGACTATTTTGCCTCTGTGTTCTCCCCAAAGCAGGACAGGGGATAGCCACATAGGAGATTAGATGAGGCTGGGGACTTAGGGGCACAGATTAGAGTCAGCCCCCTTGAAGTCAAGGGGGTCCTCAGGGCATTGGACATTACAAAGGCGCCAGGCCCTGATGGGTTACACCCGAGAGTACTTACAGAGTTGGCAGGGGTTCTCTCACACCCACTGGCCTCCATTTTTGAGACCTCGTGGAGAACAGGTGAAGTTCCAGAGGACTGGAGGGTGGTATCAGTGGTCCCAATTTTCACAAAGGGTAGTAGAAAGGACATGGGGAATTATAGACCAGTTAGCCTTACGTCCATTGT